ATTCAAACATCAAAATGGATTGATAGCCACCTCAAAATCAATCAATGTTTATCCTGTGTGAATTGTTTCTCAACTGAAAAGACGTCAGGTGGAAATTAGATTATTCCCCAGTTCCAGAATTTCTCCTCGAAGGCACTGTATGGATGTTCAACAAGCTTTGAAAGTTTTCTGTCTGCATAATATTCTCCATCATGCACATAGTCAATGCATTTCTTCTCTTTCTTCGCTGTGCGTCAGGAAATCTAAAAAATTCTTCTTGTCTCGAGCGCCTTCTTTCGTTAAGTATGTCTCGTTGACTGGTGCCTGGCAGACTTGAGTCAATTTTCCATCCCATCGTCAGGAGAATTAAAACTATTCAAAATACAACAAATTAATAATTACGATTAGACAGAGTTTCTCCCTTGGCGTACCTCTTGTATTAAAGCAAAATATACACTGCCATACATTTGTTTTAAAATTGAAATTTCGCCGAAAAGAAAAGAACTGGTGAATACAAAAATACGTTGTTTATGATATCGTGAAATCATCTGTCAGTATCTTTTGATCTTGTATGGAAATAATTACAGGGGGAATAGTAAATAAAGGAAGAAGAAATGCACTCGATAATCTTGTTCAACTAATAGATCAGAGAGGTACTCAGAATCCTGATTTCTTGAACCCTTGATTTGTCGAATTTTAGCATAATTCGACCCAAACCTAATATCATCGGTTCAAGCTTTCATCGTGCCCTGCGATAAAGTTGTTGGACCAAATCAGTTTCTTCTGTTTACCACTGCGTGCACTAGAGCACATCCAAAGCATTATTTAACGCAAGTACTTGAATTTGTGGCTTCCAATGTCCGCATTTTCTGCTACTACGGAAACGCGCACTTATCACAGCACGAGTTTAGAGTTATTGCATCTCAGGGGAAACCCTCTATTATTTCAAAACAATCATTCCTGTTTATTTATTTATCTTTTTTTTTTTTAATGCCTTTTACTATTTTTCTGGTATGTTTTAAAACCCCGACATCTCCTTTGAATTGCTTATATAATTCCCAAAAAATCTTACTATCTGTTATAATCTTCCTAGACTTTAATATCTTAACAGGACCATGGGCATGAGAATGTTACGTCAGGATTAGCTAAAATTGGTCGTGCTGTGTTTCCATATGCCTAGGCATGAAATATTTTATTTCAAGTCAGCGAAACTCGTTTGAGCTTATTATTTCTATTCTTTGGAAAATGATTTGATCTTCAGCCATTTTTCGGTCACTGAAGATGTAAAGTTTGTCTTTTATTATGAAATTGATCGTTCTTCAAAAACATCAATTACAAAGTAAACCTACTCTGAGCTCTTATAATTATGGAAATCTAGAGTCCTTCTCTCTTTGCTGATCAGACGCCGATACAATATCAAGGTGTTTTAATAAAAATCGATTAAGTGTTTGCCACCCGTCGGCGAACCTAGTCAGGGAAAAACCCCGCGACGGAAACAAGAATAATAAATAATAAATACATTATTTTCCCAGAATTTTGGAAGGACAGTATTTTTATAGTAATATTTAATTTTAATAAAAGAAAAGCGGGTAAGTGAAAATTGATGTTTGCCAGTGTAGCTTCCGCATCGTGATATCTGGCTTTACAGCGCGGAACTCTCATGTCTTTCCCTAATATCTCACTGCAGAAACCTGAATTATATTGCACCGTGGGGGTGATCGAGCATAGTTTTTTTTTTTAGCTTTTCTTGTCAGTCATGTCTTAATCATACAAAGGCAGTTTATCAAAATCTCATATGCCCTAGAAGTTGCAGGACAATTAGCCTTAAATTTCCAGTACCCCATTGGAGACGAATAAAGCTGCAGATTAGCTAACGTAACGAAATTCTTAGTTTTCAAGAAGAAAAATTATAACGACACATTTTGCCTGACCTGGCTCCCGTTTCTTGCTTAGTATTAAAGTCGGAGTTAGAAAGTTGGGTTTTTGACTCTTAGAATACAACGTAAATAAAATTTTACCCAACGTTCTTGAAGATTTTTGTTTTTCCCGGCCAAGAAATTATCATCACTAAATGATGGCTCAGTTGGACAGTTTTCTCATGATTGAAATACGGATAAGGTAAGTAAATAAAGAAAAATACCTGAAAAAAATTTGTGCGGACGAAATCTGCGGTTCCTCTGTTTTCTCTAGCAAGAGTTGGCTCCTTTCGACTTCCTTTACCAACTTTGACAGCCAAGACAAATACTTGTGCAGACGTACATCTCATTTCATAGTCGTAACAGCATCTCTTCGTGGATTACGTCAATCTTACGTCTGTGGCAGTGTGCTTAAATCACTAAAACTTCCTTGTAGCAGAAACAGCGAGGTGTGGCAAAATTTCTCGGTCAAAGGGGTTTTCCCTTAGGGTCTGTATTTATTTTGCAAGTTTCTTTAATTTTGTGCTGTGACCATGAAGCAAATCTATCGAGGCTAATAAACACCCCTTAACTCTTTCGGTGTTACTGGTGAACCGCACAATCGCGGACACGATTTCTCCGTTAAATGCTGTCAGGATTCCCTTGGAGCACAATATAAGTTGATCGAAGATAGCTGTCTGATATGACTGCACCGATATAAAAAGATGTTTCAATTACGAATCAGTGACATCAGCCAAGGGTAATCTAACTATTTATCAAATCTGATTTATAATCCTGATATATTGTTAGTTAAAAAAAAAAAAATTCTTAATGTAATTTGTGTTTAAATTGAAAATCGCTGAGAGAAATAGGGCATGAAAATCTGTATAGCACAACTCTAATATGATGTCATCCGGCACCGTCAAAACAATGACATCACCTCACTCGCGAGGGCGAACGATTCCGCCATCTAAACAGGCAAGGTGAAATTGTCCTCATGTTTCATGCTGGCTTTCAAGATTTATGTTATGAACTCTGCCCAAAGGGGTCTTCGATCTCTGTTAGAAACACTTAACTTCTACTACACTCTTTTTTTTTTTATAAGAATATATTTTATAAGAATATCGAGGCTGAAATTTGCGAAATTTTAAGAATATTTTAAGAATAAAGCCGAGGCTGAGATTTTGAAAAGGATACATATAATTTTGTGTGTTGAAACATCTGTAAATACAATACAATTTTATGTTTTTAACTTAACCGTATAAAATTATTCCTTTCTCTGAACGGCGAAACTAGCCATCAAAAAGAAAACACCTGCACTAGCTATAGCAAAATGTTCAACGCTAATGACAGTTCGATGAACGGTACATGTAATACATATGTACAGTATTCTGCACAAAAGACAAATTCTTTCCTTTTCAAATAACAAAACCTAGCGAAAACAAAAACAGCACTAGGCTTTATTTAAGAATAATACAAGAATGTTTTCAGCCTAAAATCGGCAGAAAAATAAGAATATTCAGCCTGGGCCGAAAAAACAACATTCTTATAAAAAAAAAGAGTGTACGTGATTTTAACCTTTGCAAGACTATAAACAGGTCGCCGATAGTACCCAAAACAGTAGCCGTCGACGGCTACAACTTGATCTGTCGCACCATCTGTCACGAATTAGCCCGCGTGCCGACGTCTCATACTTCCTTTTTTGCACGCGAAAAAGAAACCTTTTCTGCGTGCAACAAAGGAAATAGGAGACGTCCGCACGCAGGCTAGTCACGAATAGGCTTCGCTAAAGTAGCATAATTCCACTAGCATCGCTCGTATATTTCTAAAAGTAAGCCAATAGTTATGCTAGTTTTTGTAAATTGTGCCAATTTTAGCTGAAAAAATAAGGCAGAAGTTATGCTTCCATTTTTTAATTTAAATTTGTTAATAACACTGCATCAACTAAGCAATAAACAAGTGACTAAGCTGAGCGTAACTGTCCACGTTAAATAAAGTATCAGTATCAGTCACGTCATCGTGAACCACAAGACCAACTGATTACAACATTCACATGACTACTGAAAACATCAATCACGTGTCTTCTGATCTTTTGGTCAATGTTCTTTTTTCCTCACCTACAACCTTCTTTGCGTGTAAGGGCTTAAAGCAAACCCATAACACTTGTAGTACCCTCTTCAGAAAATTTGGTTTGGACTCCTAAAAGTGACATTAGAAAGATCAAGATATGAAAACGCGACAGTAATGAAGAAATCGTGCGCAGACCTAAAAGCGAGCTTCACCTATGGCAGAGCCGGAAATTAAACACCGGAAGTCGCGTTCTGTTCTTTTTGCTCTCGTTCGCCTTCGCAGCGTCATTTCTAAATCCATGTATAAATTTAGGATGGATTCAGTTGGAACAGTTTATTTCAGCTATGTGTGTATCGTGCAGCAAATGAATTAAAACTGGATTGCATTAACCCTGTTCTGGACCGGATTTTTATTTTTTCTTCCTGCGACCAGAGAGGGGGAAAGGGGGGCTTTGGAGGCTCCCCCTATAACTTCAAACCACTCATGATACTGCCATAAAAATTACATACAATGTACTCATCATTTCCAACATCTAGGCATAACTTGATGACCCAATTACGACATTTGACGTCATTATGATGTCATATCATTCAATTTATTGGCAGAATCCAAATTCCCCTCAAAATCGCCATGAAGCGAAAAATACTTAAATAGTAAGGTGTCTGGTAAAATCAAGTAGTTGTGTAACACGTGAATTAACTTTAACAATAGTAGTGATTTCATAACGTAACTTATTATTATTATTATTATTATTATTGAAGAATAATAATAAATGATTAAATTACTGAAAAAGCCCTCAAACCGTATGTCTTTAAGTTATTAAGTTTAATAACAAGACGCCACTTGCCTTAAGATGAGCGAAGGCACCTCACAGGTTCATAAACATGGACTAGGTCAACCAAATAACCAGGAGCTAAATTGTTGAGTATCTTAAAACATACAAGATTAATCTTACAGTTTACCCTTTGCTCCACTGGTAGCAAGTGCAACTCCTTTAGAGTATCGCTAATATGATCAAACTTACGTAAGCATTGTCTTAAATAAAACATCCTAATTCTACCAATCTTCTCCTTTCAGTTTGTTAATAGCTTCAGTAAGCATCCTGTTACACATTGCAGCATAGGGATTCATCTGTACAACCACTGATTTAGCAAAGGCGCTGCCTAACGCTGCAGCCTTTTCAAAGTCTTCTCGTGCTCTGTCCTCCTCTCCATTCAGCCTATGGATCAAGCCTCGCTGTGTGTAGGCCTGTGCTGCTGCAGTCCCACGGCCTTTAGCCAAGTCAATTGCTTTGTCCAAGTCTTCTAATGCACGGGTTACATCCCCTAAAAGAGATATCGGTCAATACAGTATGTCTCAAAAGATATACCTAAAGTGTCCATAACCTAAAGTTTTTACTTCTTTAATTGACAGTATACTTAGTTACGAGAACCTCTGAGAAAATTTTTCGATTTTTACATAACATGACTTTGTTAAATTTTTTTTAAACGCGTTCAAATTTGCTGCTATTTTAGGACGTAGGTATGGATTTCTAGAAATATTTCCTCCATTTGACAAACTGAAAACAAGCCAGTAAGATGAGTTTCAGTGAGATGTAACAATACTGAAGACCCCACGAAAGAAATAAGCATGCATAAAGTCCCGTTTATTTAGTTCCTGAATTATGTCTTAAGAAGTCACAAATGAGCCTGTCAATTTCATGGTCAGCGGAACAGCAAGAGTCTCGGGAAGTTGTTTTATTAAGGTGTTAACATAATAAAGTTTTTTAGGTTATTGGCACTTTAATTCCTTCATGTACAACTTAATCATTAATGTAAACAAGCAAAACTGGAACAGACCTTGTAAGACTCAATGTGGGTATGAGAACATTTGCGTCAAAAGTGTGCTTAGGTGACTAGTGTGACTTAGGTGACAACAGTGACTAAGGTGACTTGGGTAATTAGGGTAACTAGGGTGACTAAGGTGACTAGGTTGACTAGGGTAACTTGGGTGACTAAGGTGACTAGGGTGACTAGGTTGACTAGGGTAACTTGGGTGACTAAGGTAATATACTATGCCAAGTTTAGGAATGAATTTTCTTTATTTTTCTTTAGTACACCTGAACAACGTATTTTTAGCTTGTATTCGATTACGCGATTATACGACTGTGAGATGGATGCATTATTCGGTTGCCAAACTTATATGGCTAACATATACATAAAACATGGCTGTACTAAGCGTACCAACATACTAAGACGGAATAAAATACCAACATAAATAGAAGATGGCCGTTCTATTTGTACTAGCGCACTAAGACCCCCGCAAAATACCAACATACATAAACTTTACCGAAAGGATCGACAGAGTAATTACAGAGGTGGTGGGGTTCTTGTGTTTATTTAGCGGATTCTTTATCTTCTTAGAAGAGACGATTTAGAAAAACCCGAGCTAGAAGCTATCTGGATAGAACTTATTCAGCCTCATTCAAAAGGGATTCTGTTGGGAACATTTTATCGTCCCCCAGATGGATCTGATTTCTTGGATGTGGAGTTTATGTCGTCGTTTGAGAATGTTTTAGAAGTTGCCAATGCCGAAAAGAAAGACATGATTATAATGGGCGATTTAAATTGTAATTTTTCACCTGGTGCGAGGTGTCAGGGAGAAACAAAGAAGCTCAATAGCATTCTTCAAAGCATGAACATGACACAGGTTGTTAATGCGCCTACAAGAGTCACAAGGGAATCCCAAACTCTTATTGACATTATCTGTACTTCTCAACCACAGAATATTACCTTAGTCAAGGTGGTCAAGTCAGCACTCAGTGATCATGACATGACGGCTTTTATAAGAAAGTTGAACTCGCTAAAGTTTAAACCACGAACGATAAAATGCAAAAACTACAGCAAGTATTGTCCTACACGTTTTACTGAATATCTGTCATCTGTCTCCTCCTATTGAGCCTATCACAGTAGATGGAAAAACAACCATGGATGCCCTTACTATTGCAAACGGTTTCTGTACATATTTTACAAATGTTGTGGAAAAGGTGCTTTCTAGTATTCCACCTCTTAACTGGAACCAGCTGAGCACAGAAGCATGTTTGAATAATTCAAGTCAATCTTTGTTCTCTTTGAAACCAGTATCAGCTGCGTTTGTTCATCGTCAACTTAGGCTGCTTAAAACATCGAATGGTACAGGACTTGACGGAATTCCAGCCCGTTTACTAAAGGATGCGGCTCCAAGCATCTCAGCTCCGCAAACAATCATAATAAATCTTTCGATTTCTTCTGCAGTTTTACCGGAGGAATGGAAATATGCAAGGGTGGTTCCACTTTATAAAGATGGGGATAAGAAGTGTATGGATAACTACCGTCCCATCTCCGCTTTACCGGTGGCTTCGAAGATCCTTGAAAGAGCCGCGCAAATACAGCACCTCCAACATTTAGATAAGTCCAGTCAGCTATCTCCCTTCCTGTGGTTTTCGAAAAAATCATTCTACCCAGGACGCGGTTACATACTTCACGGATTGTATTAGGAAAGGTATTGACGAAGGCTGTGTTACAGCAGCGGTGTTTGTCGACTTTCGAAAAGCCTTCGACAGTGTAAATCACCAACTTCTCCTTAAGAAACTGCCTGGGTATGGTATAAACAACCATGAACTGAGGTGGTTTAAGAACTATCTTACGAGTCGATGTCAATCTGTTGTCTATGGCAGCGCACAGTCTGCACCTCAGCAGATAAAATCTGGCGTCCCACAAGGGTCCATACTTGGTCCGATTTTGTTTTCGATTTACATCAATGACTTGCCCAACTGTTTACTTCAGTCAAAGACCCTACTTTATGCGGACGATGCTGTCCTTTTCTACGCTGACTCCAATATCGGAAACAAAAGTACCGTTTTGAATAAAGATCTAAAACAGTCGCAGTCCTGGACCCATCTTAATAAGCTGTGCATTCATCCTGTGAAGACCGAATACGTTCTTTTCGGCACTCAACAACGAATCGCTTCGGCTGCCCTTTCAGATGGGCCATTTAGCTTATTCCTCGGGGATAAGCCGATAAATCAAGCACAACATTACAAATACCTTGGTGTGCTAATAGATGCAAATCTCAATTTCAAACAGCACGTGCATAAGATATTGGTTAAGATTTCCAAGAGAATTGGTGTCCTCGGAAGAATTAGAAACAATCTAACTGTCGATGCAGCCAATAAAGTTTATCAGTCTCTTGTTCTGCCGGTTATGGATTATTGCGATGTTGCTTGGAGCAGCATTGGGAAAATAGAACGTGATAAGTTAGATCGAGCACAAAGAAGGGCAGCTAAGATTGTTTTGAAGACCAAAGATTCAGACGCCGAGAAGAATTTAAAGTGGCTTCCCTTGTCTATAAGGCGTGATATGTACACTATCAATTTGACTTTTAAATGCTTGAAGGGATCACCTCCAATGTTTTTTAAAGATTATTTTAAGGTTTTTAGAACAGTCCACAACACGAGGGGAAAAGGGCACAACTTGCTGCTCCCCAAAGTCAGAACTGAGACGGCAAGGAAGTCTTTTTATTTTAATGGATCTAAACTTTTTAATAATATTGCAAGAGAAATGAAGGATTCTAAGTCAGTTGTGATTTTTAAAACTCGTATTTTGGAATTATATAGATCAAAAGTTTTTTAGTTACTTGTTAAGTTTTTGTATTAGTTTAGCTTTTAAATGCATTTTAATTGCTGTATTTTAGCTTTTTTAAACAATTTCTTAATCTTGTTGTATTTTTAACTTTTAGTGTGTTTTTAGTTACTGTAATTTAGGCTAGTTTTATATATATATATAATATATTTTTTTTTTTCCCAGGGCCCTCATTGATAGCAGCATTTTATGCTGAAGAGATAACCCTGGCTAAATAACATTTATTATTATTATTATTATTATTATTATTATTATTATTATTATTATTATTATTATTATTATTATTATTATTATTATTATTATAACATGGCCGTACTAAAACCAAATAAAATACCAACATACAAAACACCTAGCCGTACTGAGCGTACTAATGTATTAAGACGAACAAGAGCAAAGCGGAATAAAGTAAGAACATACATAGAATATGGCCGTACTAACGTGACTAGGGTGGAATAAAATACCCACATAAAAGAATATGGCTGTACTAAGCGTACTAGCTAGCATACAAGACAGAATAGAACATGCAACACTTTTATTACAAAGTGCGATGGGCATTACAAAGTGCTACAGAACATACATGCACAGCGAACTTGAGGTCAAGAGCTTTTAAATCCCCTGAAAAGCCGGAATTTTTCCCCAGATTTCGGAAACAGTTCTTCATTGGTTTGCTCAATATATCAACTAACATTTATATGCAATTGAAAAAATTAAGTGCGAACTTTACTGTTAGTGCCGCCTTAAAAGGAGCGTGTGTTCGTTTTGTCGTTGGTCTCTCTTATCCTTTCTTGAAGGACAGGGGAAAAAATTGTCTTTTTTTTCGTCGTCATTCGATTGTTGTGTTGTTAACAGACTGAAAATTAGATGGAGAATTTTAAGACAGGAAACATGCCTTTCTCCGGATTTATATTGAATGATAGACATGCTAGGCAGCAGCATGCAAAAGTATAATACGAGGCTACCCTTCTCGCTTCGCTCGTCGGGTGGTGCAAGAAGGGTTCGTCTTCTGTCAGGCGCTCATACGACGGATGCACGGCGACGCGCGGCGCTCACACGGAGCAGAGGTTGTCCGTATCGAAAGCGGGTTACCCGTGGGATTTTTTGCAGGTTGTGGGGGAAAGGTCTTATCGAGGCGAAAAAACGGCCAGGGCTACCAACAATTTCAGCGACTATTTTGTGCTCCTTGTAGACCAAATACGGTTTAAAACTTATTGTACTTAAGTTTGGTGCAAATTGGTGCTGAGTGCTGCTGTGATGCAGTTAGGTGCAACTTGGTGCAGATTAGTAAAATTTAATGCAGATTGTTGTAGATTGCTGAAGTTTGGTGAAGAGTGGTGGAGTTTCGTACAGTTATGTGCACATTGGTGCAGTTTGGACAAACTTGGTACAGATTGGTGCACGTTGGTGCCTATTAGTGAATTTTGGTGCAGTTAAATGCCGATTGGTGAAGGCTGGTCCTGTGTGGTACTCTTTGGGGCAACTTAGCCCAACTTTGTGCAGCTTGATGCCGTTTGGTGTAACTGGATGCAACTTGGTGCAGTTTGGTACAAATTGGTGCAGTGTGGTGCAACTTAATGCAGTTTGGTGCGACTTGGTTCGACTTGGTGGATATTCGTGTAGTTTGGTGCAACTTGGTGAGGTTTGGTACAGATTGGTGCGGTGAGTTGCAAATTGGTGCAGATTGGTGCATCTTGGTGCGACTTAGTGCATATTGGTGTAGTTTGGTGCAACTTGGTGCAGTTTGGTACATATTAATGCAGTGTGGTGCAAATTGGTGCAGATTGGTGCAGTTTGGTGCAACTTGGTGCATCGTGGTGCATATTGGTGTAGTCTGGTGCAACTCGGTAAAACGTGGTGCAGTTTGGTACATATTAATGCAGTGTGGTGCAACATGGTGAAGACTGGTGCGGTTTGATGCAACTTGGTGCAGTTTGGTGCATCTTGGTGCATATTGGTTTAGTTTGGTGCACCTTGGTGCAGTTTGGTGCAACTCGGTGCAACTTGGTGTAATTTGGTACAAATTAATGCAGTGTGGTGCAACCTGGTGCAGTGTGGTGCAACCTGGTGCAGTGTGGTGCAACCTGGTGCAGTTTGGCGCAACTTGGTGCAGTTTTGTGCAACTTGGGGCAGATTGGTGCATCCTGGTGTAACTTGGTGCAGTTTGGTGCAACTAGGTGCAACTTGGTGCAGTTTGGTACAGATTGGTGCGATGTGGTGCAACGTATTGCAATTTGGTGCAACGTGGTGCAGATTGGTGCACCTTGGTGCACCTTCCTGCAGTTTGGTGCAACTCGGTGAAACTTGCTGCACTTTGGTACAGATTGGTGCAGTGTGGTGCAAATTGATGCAGATTGGTGCGGTCTGGTGAAACTTTGTGCAGTTTGGTGCAGATTGGTGCATCTTAGTGAATATGGGTGTAGTTTGGTGCAACTTGGTGCAGTTTGGTTAAGATTAATGCAGGTTGGTGCAATTTGGTGCAGGTTGGTACAATCTGGTTCAAGTTGGGATAGATTGGTGATATTTGGTGCGGCGTGCGGCAGATTGGTTCAGATTGGTGTAGTTTGGTACAGATTAATGCAGTGTGGTGCAACTTGGTGCTGATTGGTCCAGTTTGGTGCAACTTCGTGCAGATTGGTGCAGTTTGGTGCAGTTTGGTGCAGCTTGGTAGAGATTGGTGCGTCTTGGTGCGGCTTGGTACATATTGGTGTAGTTTCGTGCAACTTGGCGCCGTTTGGTGCAACTCGGTGCAACTTGGTGCACTTTGGTGCAACTTGGAGCAGTTTGGTACATATTGGTGCAGTGTAGTGCAACTTGGTGCAGATTGGTACATCTTGGTGCAACTTGGTGCAGTTTGGTGAAACTCGCTGGAACTTGGTGCAGATTGGTGCATCTTGATGCAGACTGGTGTATCTTGGTGCAACTTGGTGCATTTTGGTGTAGTTTGGTGCATTTTGGTGACACTCGGTCCAACTTGGTGCAATTTGGTGGAACTCGGTGCAACTTGGTGCAGCTTTGGTAGAGATTGGTTCAGTGTGGTGCAACTTGGTGCAGTTTCGTAAAACTTGGTGCAGATTGGCACATATTAATGTGGTTTGGTGTGACTGGGTGCATATTGGTTTAGTTTAGTGCAACTTGGTGCAGTTTGCTGCAACTCCGTGGAACTTGGTGCAGATTGGTGCAGATTGGTGCATCTTGATGCAGTTTGGTGCAGATTGGTGCAACTTGGTGCAAGTAGTGTACTTTGGTGCAACTTGATGCAGTTTGGTACAGATTGGTGCAGTGTGGTGCAACTTGGTGCAGATAGGTGCATCTTGGTGCCACTTGGTGCAGTTTCGTACTGATTGGGGCAGTGTGGTGTAACTTTGTGCAGAATGGTGCAGCTTGGTGCAACTCGGTGCAGTTCGATGAAACTCGGTGCAACTTGGCGCAGATTGGTGCATCTTGGTGCTGTGTGGTGATACTTGGTGCAATTTGGTACAGATTGATGGAGTGTGGTGCAACTTGGTGCAGATTGGAGCATCTTGCTGCAACTTGGTGCAGTTTGGTTAAACTCGGTGCAACTTGGTGCAGATTGATGCATCTTGGTGCAGTGGGGTGCAACTTGGTGTAGATAGGTACAGATTGGTGCAGATTGGTGGAGTTTGGTGCAACTTGGTGCATATTGGTGTAGTTTGGTGCAACTTGGTCTACTTTGGTGAAACTCGGCCCAAATTGGTGCAGTTTGGTGGAACTCGGTGCAACTTGGTGGAGCTTGGTAGAGATTAGTTCCGTGGTGCAGCTTAGTGCAACTTAGCGCAGTTTGGTGAAACTCGGTGCAACTTGGTGAAGATTGGTACAACTTGGTGCAGATTAATTCATCTTGGTGCAGTGTGGTGCAACTTGGTGCAATGTAGTGCAGCTTGGTGCAGTTTGGTGCAACCTGGTGCAGACTGGTGTATCTCGGTGCAACTTGGTGTATATTGGTGTAGTTTGGTGCAACTTGGTCTACTTTGGTGAAATTCGGTCCAACTTGGTGCAGTTTGGTGGAACTCGGTGCAACTTGGTGCAGCTTGGTAGAGATTGGTGCAGTGTGGTGCATATTGGAGTACTCTGGTGCAACTTAGTGCAACTTGGTGCAGAATGGTGCGGTTTGGTGCAACTTCGTGCAGTTCCGTGAAACTCGGTGCAACTTGATGCAGATTGGTGCATTTTGGTGCTGTGTGGTGCAACTTGGTGCAGATTGGTACAGATTGGTGCAGTGTGGTGCAACTTGGTGCAGATTGGTGCATCTCGGTACAGTGTGGTGCAACTTGTGGCAGATTGGTACAGATTGGTGCAGTGTGGTGCAACTTAGTGAAGTTTAGTGCAACTTGGTGCAGTTTGGTACAGATTGGTGCACTATGGTGCAACTTGGTGCAGATCGGTGCGGTTTGGTGCAACTTGGTGCACATTGGAGCATCTTGGTGCAACTTGGTGGATATTGGTGCATCTTGGTGCAACTTGGTGCAGTTTGGTGAAAATCGGTGCAACTTGGTGCAGTTTGGTACTGATTGGGGTAATGCGGTGTAACTTGGTGCAGAATGGTGCATCTTCGTGCAGTTCAGTGAAACTCGGTGCAACTTGGTAAAGATTGGTGCATCTTGGTGCTGGGAGATGCAGCTTGTGACATTGGTGCAGATTGGTACAGTGTGGTGGAACTTAGTTCAGTTTGGTGCAACTTGGTGCAGTTTGGTACAGATTGGTGCACTGTGGTGCAACTTAGTGCAGATTGGAGCATCCTCGTGCAACTTGCTGCCTATTGGTGCATCTTGATGCTACTTGGTGCAGTTTGGTGAAACTCCGTGAAACTTGGTGCAGATTGATGCATCTTCGTTCATTCTGGTGCAACTTGGTGCAGATTGGTACAGAATGGTGCAGTTTGGTGCAACTTGGTGCAGATTAGTGTATCTTGGTGCAACTTGGTACATATTGGTGTAGTTTGGTTCAACTTGGTCTGCTCTGGGTAAACTTGGTGCAGTTTGGTGGAACTCGGTGGAAGTTGGTGTAGCTTGGTAGAGATTGGTGCAGTGTGGTGGAACTTGTTGGAGACTGGTGCATCTTGGTGCCACTTGGTGCACTTTGGTGCAACTTGGTGCAGTTTGGTACTGATTGGGGCAGTGTGGTGCAACTTGGTGCAGAATGGTGCAGTTTTGTGTAACTTGGTGCAGATTGATGCAGTGTGGTGCAACTTGGTGCGACTTCATGCAGATTGGTGCATCTTGGTGCAGTGTGGTGCAACTTGGTGCAGATTGGTACAGACTGGTGCAGTGTGGTGCATCTTGGTGCTACTTGGTGCATATTGGTGTAGTTTGGTGCAACTTGGTGCAGTTTGGTGCAGCTTGGTGGAGATTGGTTTATCTCGGTGCAGTGTGGTGCAACTTGGTGGAGTTTGGTACAGAGGATCAATGAAAATTGCCAAAGTAACCATTATTATTGTTTTTAGTATTATTATCATCATCATTATTTTTATCTAACCTGCAACTGTATCATGGCTTGAATGGTGCAGTTTGGTGCAACCTGGTGCATATTGGTGTAGTTTGAGCACCTTGGTACAGTTTGGTACAACTAGGTGCAGTTTGGTACAGATTGGTGCAGTGTGGTTCAACCTGGTGCATATTGGTGCAGTTTGATGCAAGTTGGTGCAGTTTGGTGCGGTTTGGTACAGATTGGTGCAACTCGGTGCATTTTGGTGCAGGTTGGTACAGACTGGTGCAGATTGGTGCATCTTGGTGCAACTTGGTGCATATTGGTGTAGTTTGATACAACTTGGTGCAGTTTGTTACAGACTGGTGCAACCTTGGCCTTTTGGTGCAACTCGGTACATTTTGGTGCAGTTTGGTACAGACTGGTGCAGATTGGTGCACCTTGGTGCAACTTGGTGCAGTGTGGTGCAACTTGGTGCATATTGGTGTAGTTTGATGCAGTTTGGTGCAACTTGGTGCAGTTTGGTACAGATTGGTGCAGTGTGGTGCAACTTGGTGCAGATTGGTGCAACCTTCTGCATTTTGGTGCAATTCGGTGCACTTTGGTGCAGTTCGGTACAGACTGGTGCAGATTGGTGCAACTTGGTGCATATTGGTGTAGTTTGGCGCAACTTGGTGCAGTTTGGTACAGCTTGGTGGAGATTGGTGCATCTTGGTGCAGTGTGATGCAACTTGGTGCAGTTTGGTACAGATTGGTGCAGTGTGGTGGAACTTGGTGTAGATTGGTGCAGTTTCGTTCAACTTGGTGCATATTGGTGTAGTTTGGTGAAACTTGGTGCAACTTGGTGCAGTTTGGTGGAACTCGGAGCAACTTGGTGCAGTTTGGTATAGATTGGTATAGTGTGTTGCATCTTGGTGCAGTTTGGTACAACTTTGTGCAGATTGGTTCAACTAAATGCAGTTTGGTTTAACTTGGTGCAGATTAGTGCTGTTTGGAGAACCTTGGTCCAGATTTGTACAGTTTGGTGAAACTTGTTGCGGATTGCTGCAATTTGGTGCAACTCGGTGCAGTTTCTTGTAAGTTGGTGCAGATTGGTGCAACTTGGTTCAGTTTGGTGCAAGTTTGTACAGATTGGTGCCGTTTGGTGAAACTTGGTAGAGATGGGTGCAGTTTGGTGCAGATTGGAGCAGTTTGGTTCAGCTTGGTGAAGTTAGGTGCGGATTGGTGCAACTTGGTGCAGTTAGGTACAGATTGGTTCAGATTGGTGCAGTTGGTGCAACTTGGCCCAACTTGTTGCAGTTTAGTAAAACTTTCCTTAAATTGGTGCAGTTTGGTGCAACTTTGTGCAGGTTAGCGCAGGTAGGTGCATTTTGTGCAACTTAGCACATTAGGTGCAGGTTGGTTTAGATTGGTGCAGTTTGGTGCAAGGTAGCCTGCATAGCATAGCGGTTTTGTCGAGCTGGGCGCATGAGCGGCGTAGCGGCCAAATTTGCGCGCGAAGCGTACGAGAACGAGCGGCGACGCCGCGAGAAAAATAAAAACCGCCTGCCCGGATTCGTGGCCTTATCAACTGCCGCCCCCTTCAACTCATATTGACATCCTGTTGACAACTTCTTTGGTTTCAGTTTTCCCAGCCAATCAGAAATAAAGTGTTGACAGCCTAAACACGACACAAAAGCTCGTGATATAGTGTAAAACGTGATCTTGGCCTGGAATTGGAGTTTGCTAGAACAAACACAGGTTTTTTCTTTGTGGCTATCTCGCGCATAGGTGACTACACTGCGTTCTAAACTTGAGTGAGTAGATCTTGTTTTTGCTGCACTAAGTCTTACATTTATTTAGAGGTCATGAAATTGGTTTGTTTAATCCGTATTGAGTAATTATTTCCTGTGGTTAATGTTAGTGTTGCTAATTAGAACTTGTTTATCTTAGATGCAGTTGTAAAGTACTTATTTCTTTGACCACTCTTAAAGCCTAAAGCTTTTTATTACGGCTAAATAAATATTTTAGTTTCTTTGGTCTTTTCCGACTAAAATGCCTGGATCTGGACAACTACAAACCAAGGAGCCTTGGTTTGTAGTTTCTTTGTCACTGCTTTGTCTGTGAATGTTTTGACGCTGGGCCCGGCTTTTTAAGAGCGGATGTCTGTAAATATCGACCAGGGGTGGGAAAAATAAAATTTTTGAAAAATCCCCCAAAAATTATGTACACTCCCCTAGGTATTCTAGTAATGAAAATATAAACTTTAGTTTCATTGGATAAATATTTTGGCGATACGACGAATGTCAACTTCGGGCGATTGACGGCCTCCGCCAGACCGCTTTTTCGGTCCCCTAGACCGGGCTACGAAAAGACCACGATTTCAATCAAACTCCAATATCATTTAACCCAAAAAGCTTCTTATCGTATTAATAGGGGTTTCATACACATACTAAGTGGTCATGTTCTTGAATTGATTGCAACTGGAATATTTGATGGATTTTTAAATATTTAAAAATTTTAAGGCTTTTACGCGAGCAAAATATTGTCAGATTTCAAAGGCCTAAAATCATATCTGATACATGATTTCTAACAAAAAAAGACATTCCACGTTAGAAAGCAATCTCTAAGCTTTCAAAATATACTTTCAAAACTCTGGGCAACATATGAAATGAATTTTTGGGAACCCAAAATTCACAGAGCACTTGAGTGTAATTTGAACTTTCTTTTTCGACAATCAAGATGTTCCGCGCGACACAAATCAATCCTCCAACAAATGTTTCCGCCAAAATACGTTTAATTTAAGTAATCTCAAGTCCCACAGTGATACATAGATGCTTCGTATACATTAGGTGGAAAGTTTCATGCCATTTTGTCAGCCGTAAAGAACTATTACTCTGGCCTTCAGGTGCAGTAGTTGAACTCGCCTCGCTAAAGTAAACATGAGGGTCAAGTTCTTATCACGAAACAGCGAAGTTTTCAAAATCTACACCAACTATCTATCCTGTCTAGTACATAATCAGGTCTATAATTTGTTTGTTTGTACCTTGTGTCCTTGTTTGACTTCATTCCCACAATGAAACTGAGACATGCAAACTACAACGAAATTCCCGCTCGCTCGACATGTCACGCGATTGCGTTTCGTAAACATGACACATAGCGATTATTTCTAAGTTGTGCAAAAAAAATCCATTTCTGACTTACATGTTGTAGATATGCCATTAAATGAACAGACAATCTGGTTTTCTTTTTACCATGCAGTTTTACCAGACTTGTCGGATTCCCGACGAAACCAAAAATATCTTAGGACCGAAAATTAACCCCCCAAATTTTCAAGCCCTAATTTCTCCAAGCCCTGATTTTTTTCCGTGAAGGATTAAATGATATGGTACGCCAAAAAATGAAAAGTAAATGTTTGTGGTTGGTTTGTTCATGGTACCATCTGCTGAATTTTCCTTTTTTTCATCTGACAGTCTGAACTGTGCGGCCAGCATTGTACGCGTGCGGTGCTACACCAATCAGATTGTTTTGAATACTCTTTGAAATTCTTACTTAAATCAAGCTACCAAGAATGTCTATAGTTATTTATATTGTCCAAAGTTTCCTATCCCTAAAGAAATCCCGTGATGAAAAATTTCAAAACGAAAAAGAAATCCCTTTATCATCTCGGTAACTTCAACTCTCCCCTCCCAACTCCAACCCCCGCCTTGGGCTGGGCCTAGGGTCAAACATTATTGTTTGCGTTGTTCTTTTTGGTTGTTGGTAGTGGTTCGACACTTCTCCCCCTTCCTCTGTTTGTCCTGGTTTCTGTCAGTTTGGAAATATCCTAATGCTGTATGCAAAATGCTGTATAAAGCCAGTATAAAGCACAAGTAAGGGCGTCCTACCACGGTCTCAACTAGTGATTGCGGCGTCGATATTTATAGATTTTTGGACCGTCTTGTTTTACGAAGTTTACTCTAGTGCTGAAAATAAACGAGCATCATTGCCAGCTAGTACAACTCTGCTTGCCTTTGTGCGGCGATACAGCGTGCAAAAATTGAGCGTTGGGTGGGTGATCAGTGTGGTTCAAGTAATAAATAACCGAGGAAACCGTACGTGCGCATAGGAGAGAGCAACCGATCAGTTAAGTGCCACTTTACAGTCAGTTCTGCATTATGCCATTGAACTTGCGTAGGTGCCTGCTCTTGCGCATCTTCGAACTCATTATAGAAGAATCAGTGTAACACGGACAAAGCTTCATCTCCCCCGCCCCTGGTCCGTCCCCGCCAGTCTCTTTCCTTGCTTTGACCCACGCATAAACGTTTCAGAGTAGGGCCAATCATAGCCTGCGTAGCAGGCGCCAGTTTTGTTGTTGTTGTTTTGTTTTGTTTGGGGGGGGGGAGGATGGGCGAAAGAAGAAGTGTCGAGGACGCATGAGGAGAGAAAAGGAGAGGAGGTCTCCTCTCCCCTTCACGTGTTCCCCTCGCGCGGCCTGTGATTAGGTAATTACCGGCTCATGCTACGCAGGCTAAGCCAATCAGCGCCCGCTTTATAATTGATGTTGCTTGCGTTGAAATACAATAATAATGATGATAATGATAATGATGATGATGATGATGATGACGATGATGATGGCCAGAAACGCATATACAGTGTAATACATTTACAGCTCTAGCTTTGAAAACCACGCTTTTGAACCCCCTTCCTTTTCAGCGTTGGAGATCATAGGTTTTTTTTTTTTATCATAATGTTTACTTGCCTTGTGACTACAATAGCGGAATAAAGGTACCTAGCCTGCCAGCGGTGTTCCACTCGTGGTGCAGTAAGGAGTAGACATGTACTACCTTAGACCGAGAGCGCACTATCAAAGATTGGTGTCGTAGGCACAATATCAGACGGTAGTAGGATTTTCTACATGTAATTAGGGGCCAGCCATTTGACTTTAAGCGGGGTATGGGTGGGGGGGGGGGATCAGTCGTGACTGAGAACCCAAAAAGGCGAGATCACTGAAAACTTCGGGGATCACTGAAAACTCGGGGATCACAAGCCTGAGATCGATAAAACTGCATGGTAAGAAAAAAAAATTGAGATTGTCTAGCATACCTTCAACATGTAAAATAGAAATGCAGTTTTTTTTTGCACAACTCAGCAATAATCGCTATGTGTCATGTTTACGTAACGCAATCAGGTCTAAAACGGCCTTTTCACGTGACACGTGACGTTTCGAGCGAGCGGGAATTTCGTTGTAGTTTGCATGTCTCAGTTTCATTGTGGGAATGAAGTCAAACAAGGACACAAGGTACAAACAAACAAATTATAGACCTGATTATGTACTAGACAGGATAGATAGTTGGTCGCTGTTTCGTGATAAGAACTTGACCCTCATGTTTACTTTAGCGAGGCGAGTTCAACTACTGCACCTGAAGGCCAGAGTAATAGTTCTTTACGGCTGACAAAATGGCATGAAACTTTCCACCTAATGTATATGAAGCATGCATGTATCTCTGTGGGACTTGAGATTACTTAAATTAAACGTATTTTGGCTGAAACATTTGTTGGAGGATTGATTTGTGTCGCGCCGAACCTCTTGACAGTCGAAAAAGGAAAGGTCAAATTACAATCAAGTGATCTGTAAATTTTGCGTTCCCAAAAATTCATTTCATATGTTGCCCAGAGTTTTGAAAGTATATTTTGAAAGCTTAGAGATTGCTTTTTAACGTGGAATGTCTTTTTTTGTTAGAAATCATGTATCGGATGTGATTTTAGGCCTTTGAAATCTGACAATATTTTGCTCGCGTAAAAGCCTTAAAATTTTGTAAATATTTAAAAATCCATCAAATATTCCAGTTGCGATCGATTCAAGAACATGACCATTCAGTATGTGTATAAAACCCCTTTCAATACGATAAGAAGCTTTTTGGGTTGAATGATATTTGAGTTCGATTGAAATCGTGGTCTTTTCGTAGCCCGGTCTAGGGGCCCGAAAGAGCGGTCTGGCGGAGGCCGTCAATCGCCCGAAGTTGACATTCGTCGTATCGCCAAAATATTTATCCAATGAAACTAAAATTTATATTTTCATCACTAGAATACCTAGGGGAGTGTACATAATTTTTTTGGAATTTTTCAAAACTTTTATTTTTCCCACGTCTGGTCGATATTTACAGACATCCGCTCTTAAGTGTTGTTTGCAGGATGTTGTATTTTTACGTATAGCACGATCTTCAGATTTGAGTTGTAGCTTAAACTTAAGCTACACCAAACGAAACAGTATGGACAATTACGCTGTGCGTCTTTCTTCTACTGTATGCGATTCATCGACCACAATCGCGGACACCGTTCGATGTATTGCGCTGGGGTGCATTATTCTCTAACACCGAGTAATAGAGAAAATTGAGGTGAACTTTCTCGAAGCACTGGAATTTAATGTTTCTGTCATAAGGTCCATTGCTGTACAGCTCAGCGACAACATTCCAGATATCTGGTCGTCGATAGTACTTTTTAGAGGGGAAATTGTGATCATACAGGTTTTCGATGAGGAAATTTCTTCTTTGGCCATAGCAAAGATAGTAAAGATCATGCTCTTGCCAAATCTTGTTGACAAAATTTCCATGACATCTCTCCTTTGAAGAAGACTGTAAATGGCCATTTCCTGTTTAGGCTTCAATACGATTGCCCTGTTTTCCCGTCAAATATTCAAGATCGACGATGCTCTGGTCAACGCTTCTTTCATATTTTGATTTTGTTTTGCGGAGATGATTTCTTCAGTCCCTCGAAACTCTCCCATGGGAGATTACCCAGATATTTGATTGACAGGCGAACATTCTGAACCAATCGGGACGATCCGTATGCTGGCGTACGGACCGACTCAAAAAAGCCCCCCGTCCGTGCAGGCGGTTTTTCAAGTTGCTCCTGCCCCAATCTCCTCGCGGTTTCTCTGACCTTGCCCGCCCTTATTACTTAGCGCACCCAACCAAAACCGCCATGCTACGCAGGCTAGGTGCAAGGTGGCCAAATCTGGTGCAATTTCGTGCACGTTGGTGCAGTTTCTTGAAACGTGGTGCAGTTTAAGATAACTAGGTGCAAGTTGGTGTAGTTTGGTACAGATTGGTGCAGTGTGATGCAACTTGGTTCATTTTGGTGCAATTATGTGCAGAATTTTGCAGTTTGGTGCAAATTGATGCAGATTGGTCCACTTTGGTGCATGTTAGTTCAGTGTGGCGCAGTCTGGTGCAACTTGGTTCATTTTGGCACATTTTATTGCAGATTAGTGCAGTTATGTGTAGAATTTTGCAGTTTGGTGCAACTTGATGCAGATTGGTCCTGTTTGGTGTATGTTGGTTCAGTTTGGCACAGGTTGGTGCATGCCTGTGGAGATTGGTGCACTTTTGGCAACTTGGTGGTTTGGAGCGGGTTTGTGTAAAAAAGTGTAGTTTGGTTCACCTTGGTACAAATTATTGCTGTTTGGTGCGGTTTGGCACGGTTAAGTGCATGTTGTTGCATGGTCGTTATGTCATTGGTGCGTTTCGATTTGTCTATGTTACAGTTAAAGAATCATTTATTGTAAGTCAAATTGTCATGTCCTCTCGTAGTTAGTTTTGACTAACAATATACGACTGTTTGACTGTGACAATAGACGGATGGAAACGAACCAATGACATAATGATTCTTCATAGCCAATAACGTCACGGCTAAACTGACAGATGACAAATAACATCACGACTTAATTGACCAATCAGGTCAATAACCAGAGTTTAATACCATCAACTGATGTGACACAACTCACTTTGACTTTGAAGATGACTACTGCACAAGTTGTCGAAACGTCAGTCACTGTCAACTACAACAGTCCTATTCAGGACTACGTTCACCTAGACGATCATACTCAACCTACCTGTGAAATGACTTCAGGGTTTAAAACTTTGACAGTATTCATTTTATGTTGCTCAAACTCTTCTCGTGCATCACCATTAAAGGACAACAAAAGGTCTAGAATTGTTTTGATAAAAAAAAAATCAAATCACCATCTCCCATCAAGGTTTGGCTCAAATTATTTCAGTGCTATAAAAACGATTTTCACCTGTGGCCATAATTGGTTGGCAATATAACGTTTTTGACCGAAAAAGGTTTGCATTTTTTTAAATGAACCCTTTCAGGCTGCAGCCACGACATATTAGGGAAAACTGTATCAACACACCTTAAACAGGGATTTAAAAACTCTTGACTTCACGTGCGCTGCACATGTATGATTAGCACGGCCATGTTTGCAATGTAAGTTACCAGTTTTCAGCTTTTAAAATCTTATTGATACGGTTAAGAGACAGACGGGCGTGAGGGTGGTGTTTAGTCACGTGATTACCAAATTTTCTGGGATGGGTAGATTTACTTACCCATGGTACTCTGCAGGTGCACTTCGCCTGCCAGAGCTCCATGAAGTACAAGCAACGCCCAGGGTTTGCTGAGGGTATGTGGTGTTGAAGTTTTGGACTGACGTATAATGCTGAAATCGGAGCTGCTAATAGCCAATCAGATTAGAGAATCTTGTTACATTTGTGATTATCCATGTGAACTATAAAGTTGAGGTGTCTGTGGTGCCAGCTGATTACTGTGTTGTAATGCAGCCGATTACTGAGTTATTGTAATTTAGGGCATAGCTCTCTGGAAGAGCACTGTAAAGAAGAAATACAGTGGGTAAATAAAGCTTTCATTGACCGATTGATTGACTGTTAATACAGTAATCGGCTGTTACTAGACATCTTTAATGGTATAACTTTTTCTCAATTTGAGAAAAACCTTTACTAACCAAGGTATAACATTTGTAATATTACTTCAGTAACTATAGAATTCAAAAGTAGGTTGAGTTTGATCATCCGGTTTAACGTAGTCCTGTATAGGACTTTTGTTGTTGACAGTGACTGATGTTTTAACAACGATCGACAACCTGTGCGGTAGTCATCTTCAGAGTCAAAGTGATACCAATAACATAACAGCTTAACTGACAGACGACCAATAACATTGCCACATAATTGACCAATCAGTAACCAGAGTGTAATACCATCAACTGACGTGATACAACTCACTTTGACGCTGAAGATGACTTCCGCACAGGTTGTCGAAACGTCAGTCACTGTCAACAACAACAGGCTAGTCCTGTTCAGGACTACGTTCACCCAGGACCTGAACAATCGATGAAAATTGATGATCAGAAAATCAATCGATCAATCAATGACAATCGATTATTACTATTAATTAGCATTGATTGGCATTGGCCAATCGATGATCAATTGATAATCACACTTAGATGGTCACGAACTTCATCGATTGCCATAAAATTGGCACTAAATTCATGTCTCTGTATCTTCAGGTATCCCCGGAGTGTACGCAGATTGTATATTATTTTGAAACCTCAGTAGCAAAGTTTGAGAATTGTTCATCGATGTGGCTCCGTGAAAAACAGCACAAATAATTAAGACAATTAACATATCTCATTGTCAGTAGTACAAACTTGATCAATTTAGCTTTGAGTTCATTGCAAAGATTCAACTGACCTGGGACGCAGTCATTGTTCAAACACAATTAAGCTCATTGTTATTTCTTTTTCTTCTTCTTTCTTTATATGTCCGAGCAGACGCCCACGTAACAGAAAATGTGTGCATTAAATTAATTGAATATATTTTATGAATACTTAGCTAAACTGTTAGCTCAAAACGTTACATCATGCATTAAATATTTCACACCTTGCCTAATTTGCCAGCTGTTTCGTTGAAGCATAACAGTGGGGTTTGTTTTTCTTACACACAAATCCGTAGTACGTTGCTATGAATTTTAAACTCGCCCGAAACGTGTGGGCGAATAAACAAGTTTACGCACTGCTACTCGCTGGTTTTTACTCAAATAAAAAGCAGTGATATTAAAATGCGTAACTTTATTAGTACTCGATTAAATTGATAATTGAAATGTTTGACTAAATAGGTTATCGATTGATATTGCATATTGATAACAATCTACTATGTTAATTGATCGATTCCCATTGGTTATCGATTGATATTGATAATCAGTGATAATCAATAATCACAAAAGTTTTCGTGATCGATTGTCCATCGATTATCAATATCAATAGATTAATTAATATCGATTGTCATCGATTGTTATTGATTGCCATCGATTATCGATTTCATCAATTGTTCAGGTCCTGGTTCACCTGGACTATCAAACTTAACCTACTTTTAAAATGACTCCTGGGTTCAAACCTTTCACAGTTTTAACTATAAAATATTACCTTTTAATCTCCAAAGCTGAGCCCTGTTGTTAAAGCAAGATGAACGAGACGGACATATCTCGCAAGCTTCGTTAAAACACTCAAGTGCTCCATCGAGATTTCCCAGCTCTGCTCTTTCGACACCCATCGCCTCGAGCTCCTTCGCCCTTCGTGAATCCTCTCTGTTGTCTTCATTGATGTCATTTTCATTCTTAGGCTGCGTTTGAGGAATATCACCGAGGGGAAGCAAAGGATTAAAAATACTTTCTAAAACGGCTTGATCTTTCTCGCTGGTCGCCATTTTGTTTATCGAGCCTCATTCCCAGGGTATCAAGGCCCTTGTCCCCATCCCTGGGGGACAATCTTTCACTCGTGAGGGCTGCCCCTGGTTCTCGGTTAACCCAGATCTTGCACTCAAGGTACCGTTTTTCTTTCATACTTGTCTGTTTCAATCGCTTTACTTTTAACTTGACATCGTTCTGTGCTCTCAAACGATACCCTTGGCCGCCATCGATACCTCGCGAGAAAGGACGAGTGAGCAAAATGGGATGGTAAACGCCCGTCCCTTCCCGGTGCCCAGTTTGAACTGAGCCCGAAGTCCTTCACTTTCATTCAGTTTCCCGTGTCTTGCTCCGTCAGCAGAACGTGTCTGGAAAAAACAGTGCATTTTCTCGGCTATGGACAATTCAATTAGAGTCAATTTTCCTCCTGTTTCACTTAAGGTAAGAACTGACTCTATGTTTTGTCGGTTGATGCTGTTTTTGCCCTCATTTGTGAACTGGAGGTCCATATCAGCGCAGGATCATTTCATTACAATACTAAACTTATCGTTTCTGTTTTCTGTTTTTTTGTTTGTCATGTAAATTATTTCCTTTGTTAAACGGTTATTGTTTTATTTCTAGATTGTTGTTGCTGTTCATTTCGTTTTAACAATTTGGTAAGTTCTCTGTCAGCTATTTTTATTTGCAACAAAATTTAGGAAAGCCTGTAAATCATGTGACATTTTGGGGTTAATAAATCATTGCTATTTTGATATCGTGATCATATGATATTACAGTATTTGTTGCTTTATTGTGCACTTTATCATAATATTCCTTTTAAAAAGTGATGTATATTTTATGATCACAAATATGATCGCTTAAAGGTAGCCTGCAAAAGCGGGCGTATTTTGCAGGGCGAACGATTTGGACGTTGAACTGACGGGGAGTTAGGGCGAGTCAAAAAATGATTCCAAGGGAGAGGTTGATGGGTCAAAATAGGGGAGGGGACCACCGCGGTCGAACGTCTAAATCGTTATTTTTGTTTTTTATTGCTGGGATTTCATTTACCAGTTAGAGAAAAATGGGCAAAGATGTATAAATCAGTTAGTCAACATAGCTATCTTTCCATTTTTCTCAAAATTTTGAGCTTTTTTCGCTGAAAACGCTTCGCGCTAATTTTAGTAAACTTTTAAAAAGTTTAGTAAACTAACAGGATGTTGGTAATACCCTAAACTTTCGATAGTGAAAGTAGCAACCTTAACTTTGAAGTATTTCGCTTAACTTTTGCAAATTTCACTCGTTTGACCACTGTGAAGGGAGGGGTAAGGGAGGAAAAATATGCCTGCACGCAGCCATAGTTCATTGGCGAATGCCATACACTGGATAAATGAGGGCTCTGCTGGTGTGGTGTTGGATGCCAACATTTGATGAATGAAACAAGATGGAATAAGCGTGATAAAGTTTGAGGCAGCGCAACTTCACTTTTTAAGTAACATTTTTGTAGTCCTTGCCGTCATTGTTGCTTAAGCTCCTTAATGAGTATCAAATTCCCTCCCCTGCTCAGGGCCTTACTCTAGCAGAGCCCGGTGGCCCATGGTACCAAACATTTCCTCTTGGGTGACTAGAAAATCTTTAGTTACTTTTGCCATCTTTTCTTGATATTGTTTATTACTTAATTATCACTACTCATGCATTATATTATTATCATGATTATTATTATTATTACAAGTGATACCAGTAAAAGTATTATAATTATTATTTTACACTTTATAAAGCCTCCAGTTTATAAACCTTAAAATAATTTGATCAAAAGGGTTAGCTTTTTGTTTTTCTTAGGTGCGGCATATTTAATTTATACGACGAAGTCACGGCTCAAGGTTGTCCGCTATAGTGAGAAGTGATTTCATTTGCTCTTATTGAAATGGATGGATGAAACTTGATCACTCTTTTTGATATACAAATCAGGTCCAGTGACATACAAATCATGTCAAAGAATAGGAAAATCAACTATTACTGTTGATTCTTAAGTCGTGGCACAAGCTGATTAATAAAATGGATTTACCAAGAGAGATACGAATTACTCTTACTGAAAAGAAAACAACAACTTAATAACAGCCTGCAAACCACTAAACTGAAACTTATGTCATGTTAGGCCTCTTTCAAACATGGAATTTCTTATGAGTGCCAAACACCTATTTTAGTCGATCAAAGTAATTAAATATGGCAGTCAATTCAGACATCAAATTTGATGGTGCTCAAGAAAATGATGGTGCTGGTGCTCTAGAAAAATTTTTTGATCCAATTTGGATAAGGGTTTCTCAGGGTTGTCAGAAAGTTTTGAAGTAGATGGCTAAGTTGTCAAAGTAAGCGGCCAGTCCAGGGATATTTTATTTAAAAAACGCCATCCGTAAAGAATGCTAAGCAGAGTAGCCGGCCGATACTAACCAAGTAGGCGGCGATTTTCACCAGCAGCCGGCAGCTGGTTTCTATAATTAATGCATTATATTCGGCACATGTGAAATGCGACTTGTAAATCAAAATGATGTTGAATTTAAGTCGAATTTTCAGCCGTTTCAGTCGCAGAGTTGACAAAGTCGTATTAAATTTGAAACTGTCAAATTTTATTTAGTTGATTTAGTGGTCCCATCTCAAAGCAGTTACCTCTCAAATTAAGTTAGGCACATGTGAAAATCGACAATTGAGCTGGGTAACAGCTTCCATTATTACTAAAAATACCGGTAGATACGCTATGATACATACTGCATTTTTTATATTCCTGTAATCCCTGCTTTCAATTTACCACATTATGTTACTAGCTATATACACCACACAGGTAAAAAAGAGAGTAAAAAAAGATTTTAAAAGAACAAAAATAGTAAGTTTACAAAAAATTGGCGTCAAGGGGATTCGAACCCAAACCCTCAGAATCAGTTAGAACTAAAAGTTAATGCCTCTCACTATCCACAGGACCACCCGGGTAAATGCTGACAATTTGAGTTTAAAAGAGGTATATATTCCTTCTCTATGGTGATTGACAGTTTTCAACTGATTGAAGCTAGATGTAAAGCTCACAATTAACACATTAAAATACTCTTTCAGGATTGGTCCATGCCGGGGAACGTTTAACAAATTTATGAACTATCAATCAAGCGGCTACCGACTGAACCATATGACCTACAATTTCAACTCATTAATGAAATCTTTCTCACAGCAACAAAAAACGAAATTCGGAAATAGTCGCATGACTGATGATGTCATGACCTTAGATGTGACATGGGAAGATATTTTATGGCAAATGTTATCTTGTGCTCTGGCAGTCTTCTACGTATAAAATTGTCAAAGGTATAATAAAGCTTTTTAAAAAATTGCCTCAAAGGACTCTGGGAGATTCTTTTATGATAATTATAATTTACTTTTATAATTATTATTATACTTCAAGTATTAACTGTTAATGAATATTTTATTCCATTTTATTTTTGCAAAGGGGAGATCAGATAGGATGGCTACCTGGCTCGTATCTATTTTGTAATTTATTGGTATTGGCAGTGGGGGTCTGGGCTATAGCTTCACCAACAAATGAGGATGCATCTCAAATGGTAATTGCTTATTATAAATCCCTTTCACTGCTGCAGTGCATAAAAGTAGAATAATTTTCATTGTTATGCTGTACCTCTTTTGCACGTGTAGGGGTACTTTTCTACATTTACAAAGAAGTGCAGCAGATGCATGTTTTCATTGCTGAAGGGAGGAGGGAGGGGCAAAAAACAAAAGTATAAATAGAGCTCTCATGGCATGGACACGTAAGACAATGAATTGATGATGGTATCCTGTATGTAATTATTAATAAATTGTATTATAATATGCCCAGTATATATAAATTCTAATATCTGTACCAGTACCCAGGGGTGATACGAAAATTGTTTGTTGTAAAATCCTTAGATATAGTAAAAGCAGAATTATGCAGAAAGTCTGCCAAAGAGGTTTCATTTTAATGGTAACACAACAGAACTTCACTCCCTTTCTTAAAAGTTAGAGAGACAATGTATTTCACCAGGCCCCAGTTGTTCAAATGGTGGATAGCACTATCCGAAGGATAAATCTCTGTCCACTGGATAGTGCAATTGGTTTTCCAAACACTTATCTGCTGGAAATGATTTATCCAGTAGATAACGCTATCCAACGTTTGAACAACCAGGGCCAGATAGCTAATGTTCTAGTCAGGGCTTCTGATATTTCGCACAGTCGCGGAGCTGTGACATTCGGGTAAATCCACGAAATTCACAAAAACACGCAAAATGCCGCGAAATTCGGTAAAAATCTTATCAAATACTTGTCTGTACAACATATTTGAAACTTATTTCAGCTATTGGGGCTATTTACTTGCTGTAAACGTGCAAATTTATCTTGAAACTTCGTCACTGAAACATGCAACCAACGTCCCAAAACTACCAGACGTGATTATGTTGGCAAATTAACCGGGCACTAGTCATGATGTTAAAGGCTTTGCCAGTGGTTCATTTCTTGAGCATATTGTTAAAAGAGCAAATGATAACCTCTGTTAGAAAAACATTAAAAACACTGGTCTGATCAGCACAAAACCGACTGATTTCCAGCAAAATTTGCCTTGAAAATAATCACAAAATCGGCCATTTTTTATCGATTGCTTTTTGGAAAAGTTTGCTCCGAAATTTCCCACAAAATTGGCCAATTTTTCACGAATTTGTCCCTAAAAATCCCGCAAAATTTGACTTTTTTTCTGTGACCTATCAGAAGCCCGAGTAGTTGTGAGAGGGTCAGTAACTTTAAACTCTGATTACAATAATATTTTGAGTTTTCTATTTTGAAAAATGCAGCTTTTATAATCAAAGAATATACTAATAAATAAATTATTGTATTTTTTTTCTGCAAGTTCTGAGTTAGTCTCCCTCGCAGCCCTTTTTTTCCCATCACTCAATGCTCCTCCCCAACAAATGGCTGCTCACATTCAAACCACCTTCCTTTCCCGATTTGAATCAATCACAGCTATGGAACCTTCTATTTTTGGAACTGTTTTATGGCTAATAATCCTCTTACATATGTTGGCCAATCATAGTCTGCATTCTTTTGTCTCATATTTAAGGTGTCAAGTTGTCTCCTGGAAAGCCGTTTAATATTTGTCTGATCATTTACATCATCATGTTGTGAATAAAACAGACTTGGAATTGCTATGATTTGACTACTTATCCAGGGTGAGAATTAAAACTGACATCCGCTTAAGTTATTTGTGATTTTTCCAATTCCAATTCCAATTCCACATATGCTTTACCTGACCTTATCTGGTCTGCGTCTACATGTGACAGGACTTTAATAACAATGCTGATGATCTGATGACAGTTTTTTTTTTTTGCCAAAACAAATTTTCCTCAAAGGGAAGTTTACTGATCCAGCTTTTATACCAAGCATTATTTAATACAGTTTAAAGTCGCCCATTTTAGTGCCAAATGAGTGCGCTTTTCAGTTTTTGCCACAGAAAACCTCAATCATCGATTCAGATTTAATGAAAGAAAACAGGCTGAAGCAAAACAGATTCGGGCCCCTTCACGGGTGACACCTCTGATGCAACCAGAAATCACAGTGGCTCATTCTTTGCGCAAAAAACTGATGTTATTTTCAGGTTACTGATAAATGATTGGTCATTTCTGTGGGTTAATAATATTAAAAAAAATCAAATCAATTGGAAAGGAATGTGAGCAGCTGTTTGTTGGGGCGGAGCATTTTAATTAGGTGACGAGACAAAAACGGCTGTGAAGGAGACTAGAACTCACTTGAAATATATTGATAAGAATAACAATTAATAATATCAAAATCAGGAACTGTGGGTTGAAGAATTTAGTGAAAGAAGATCGATCATCCTAGTTATAGGTGCAACTTTTGCAGTTGCAAAAAAAGCTAAAAAATTCAGGCTCCAGTGTACAGGTTTGAAACTCTTGACCTCTGCATCAAACTGGTGCAGCGTTCTACCAATTTATTGAGCTATATAACAAAGCCATTGAACTGGGTGCTGGTCATTGAGTTGATTCATTATTAACCCATGAAAGGATGATGATGAATATATGAAAAGAAAAATGCTAAAGTTGTGCCTATTACTGTCAAGTGATGATCTTCTTTCAATTAGTAACTCATTAATTTATCCTGTGTGCATTATTAATATTACACAATTTGCATATACAGTACTAATGAGAGAAACTACTTTTTATTGGCAGATTAAAATGTTGTTGTTATACTATTGTTTTTGCAGTTTTTGCTTGGAATGCTGTTTACCATCTTACATGACATCATAGTAATCGCAATCTATTATCATTCTGTTTGTGGTGACTCTGGTCCTGTTAATTGTGATTGTAAGTGTTAAAAAACCTATCAAAAATTATTTTCAAAATTTTGGAATCACAGTTCAAGGAATTGCAGATATTGATCCCCACCTACCTTACAGAGATTTATGATCATTGTATTAATCAAATAAGGATTTCCATGTTTAACTTTAACTTAGTTGATACAGTAGTTATTCACGATAACATATTGTGAGCAGGCACAGCAGGGTACCACTGTAACATGTTCATCAGACATTAATTTTTCTTTTAATTTGCGGCCAAATTAGCTGAAAGAAAAAAGACTCTTGATTGTGTGCCCTTCAGAACTGTTCATGGCCTATTGCTTTATCTTTGGATTAAGAAATTTTCAGTTCAGAGCTTCTGAGCTGCTCCAGCACAGCTTTTTATTATCATTTCTATCAGCTCAACCTTGGCTGTTCATCATGGTTCGATCTATACAGCTCTAATGCATGGTTGTCATTAAGATTGGCAGGAAAACATGTCAGTTAATTGAAGAGAAGATCATCCCAGCTCAAAAACAGAACTTATGCAGTTGCGAAAAGAAAGTCTGAAAAATTTCAGGCTTGCTGGGGTAAGAACCCTGACCTCTGCGATACCGGTGCAGTGCTCAAATGAACTGTCAAAATGTTGAGTTAGTATTAGCCAACTTAGAGCTGGTCATTAAAAATAAAAGAAAATAAATATGAAAAGATGAAGATAAAATGAACATCATCAAAAGGCATATATTCATCTTTTTCTATACAATTAGTTGATCTTAATTGCTGCTATTTTCTTTGTTATTGCTTGCAAAGAGCTGAAACTTGCACAAACTGCATACGTTAACCAGCTCTTTTCATTGTTGAACCTAACTGTTGTATACAGCTACACCGTCTATGGGTTAACTCGTATGCTAATGACCAAAAATGTAAACAATGACATCACGATCAATCCGCCCATTAGTAGCAGATTTGGGCTTCCTAAAATCTTTTTCAGGGCACAGCCCGGGTAAAATATGGTTGTGGTATTCAGCTGCATTAGATATATTTTCATCAATATTTTTTTATCCTTTTGTTTGTCTTTATACAGCATCTCACTACAGATTTTGTGTTGGGTATCCTTTTCAGTACTGCTTTAACATTACATTGTCTTTCATTTTTTCTTTTTTATAATAATAATTTAATTATTTACTAAGTTAATGACTCGATGATCTTTACCAACTTGGCAATGTAGTTTCTGTGGCATGTCCTCCATCAAATTGTTGGTTTCTCAATGAAGTCATCGCATATCAAGTTAAATATTTTAAGGCAATTTTCTTTTCCTTATAAAAATCACTTTTTCTGTCTAGCCAATACAGGAGACTGCATATATGCTGGAATAATATAGTCTGTACTGAGACATGCATGTTAACTAGTACATAATTGATTTTCCTTGACATTTCACTTATTTTACTAGAATGGCTATTCTGAGTTTGATTTTAAAGGTACAGACTGAGATAATAATTAAAAGGCATATTATTATTATTATTATTATTATTAATGTTTTTATTATTATTATTATCATCATCATCATCATTATCAAGAGATTTCTAATCAAGAGATTAAACTGCAACACCATCTAACATCTCAAGGTTTCTTCTTCTCAATGTTATCAAGTATTTTATTGTCATCTGTCAATTCTATTTGGTCAGAGGCCCAGTCTCATTTACCCAAGAACATTACAATTTTACCATCAGCTACATCAATCAACTCCCTTCCTACATGTAGGAATATGGCAAGATGGGGATTATCACAAAGTCCTGGTTGCTCCTTTTGCCTTAATTCTGAATCACTCTTTCACATTGTCACTGGTTGTCAACAGTACCTTGATTGCTTCACCTGGAGACACAACTCAATCCTTAACTTCATCGCCAACTCACTTCAACCCGTAATTAATGTTCACTCTACACTCTATGCCGATGTTAATGGTTTTCTGAATCCCTCAATAATAACTGGTGAAAATTTATTGTCCAGATCTTCTTTTCCTAATAATATAATCCAGTTCAAGTGCCTATATGTTCTAGAATTAACAGTTGGTTTCGAGTCTAACCTTAATAGCAATGCAGTGCATAAAAAAGAAAAATATCTGAACTTGATCAAAGAAATGGGTAGAAATTACAGATGTATGAAATTCATAATCTTATCCTTGAGCTCCCTTGGCATTTTCTCCTATGAATGCTGCACGTTCTTGGACATGATGAATGACATTGACATTGACAAAATGCAGCAACATTATATAATCAAAAAAATGATAAATATAGCCATTAGAGCAACATATTACATCTTTTGTTGTAGAAATAAGAGTTGGGATAGCCCAGACTTAATACAATTAAATTGAATTTTTTGTTTTTTTGAATAATTCAATATCAAGCAGCCAATTGTAAATTGCCTATACATAGCGAGATTAACAATATTGTACATTCAAAAACACAAATAAAGTTTCCATTACTATTATTGATGTGCAGTTTTTGTTTGGCAGGGAGTAATACATACATGTATGTCAATCCAGGATCTCTTTTGAATTTAGTAACGATGTCCTAATTAACATCATTCCAGTTTGCTGCAATTAAGCTGCTAGCACTTTTTCTGCTTCATGGTCATTGCTGTTTTTCTTTTGAGCTAAGTTTTACATGACTGTATCAGTCAAGATGTGAATATTTTATAACAAAATAATTATTAAGTAATTGTATAATAATATTAATAACAGTTCAATACTACAGGTGTATTAACCACTCCAGAAAAAAGCCATCAAAATTGTGCATAAGCATTGTCTTCACTTTTTCTAATGGAAGTTAAAATGCCCCCAAGAGAAACTGAGAACAAAGCCAAGAATGCAAAATTTTGGGGTGACAAACAAAGAGCATTATGGTATGTAATGGCTTTTTCTGGAGTGGTCAATTACATGGCAAATGTTTTTATTTAATGTACATTGTGCCCGTCATTTTTATAGGGCATTTTTTACAAATGTACTTGCTTAGATTCAATGTTAGATGTCAAAAATTGTCTCAATCTCTCTCCTTACAATACTCAGTAGATGCTAATTAACCTTATTTATAAGTATTTGCACTGATTACCAAAGCTGCTAGGTTCTATTTTTTGTTTTTCATTCATTTTAATCCACATTATCTAAAATTAATGTTCCTTTTTCTGTCTATAGCCACTATCTTGTCTGCTTATTTTTCAAAATCATCGCAGCAGAGGTGGAGAACAAGGCTACAGTTGGTCAGGTATGATGTAGAACTCCCCTCCTACCCCTCCCCTAATCCAAATTTAACACTTACCTCTCCCTTTGGTAAAAAAAATGTTGGGTTATAAGGGAGGGGTAGGTGGGCAGTTTCATAGAATCTGTTACTGAACTGTCATGTCACTTCACTTATACCCTGAAGATAGCAACTTTATGGAGGTTCAATTGTAGTACAAAAAGGTGTGAAAAAAATTTTCTTTATAATAATTTTTTATTGTACAGTGACAGATTGTATGAAGATATACCAGCTTATTTGTTTCCTGTTTCTATGCAATGTTCAAAAGCTTCATAATAAGCTAAATAAGCTAAAGCTAAATAAGCCCCTCCAAATGTTTTGATTGCAGTCAGAAAGTGTCATTGTTTATTGCTGTTAGTGTAGTCCCTCTTCACTCTTGGCTTGGATTTCCTCAGTCCATGCAGACAAAGTACTTGCATGGCTGTGTTTTAGAAGGGTCTACGTCTTCAAGGCAAGTTTTAGTAAAAACGTTCTGCAAATTACTGACATAAATTTCCTTCCAACTAGAAGCTAGCCCAATCGATTGTAAGATGCAAATTTTCCTCCAAGTATGAGCCTAGCCGATTTTGAGATGCAACTTCTCTCCATATATAAGCCCCTCAATCAAAAAGGGCCTTTGAAAATTATAAGCCCCGGGGCTTATTTTCGGAATTTTATTGTAAATATCAAATGAAGCAGGATTGAAAAAAAATAATTTTTGTAAGTTTCCATTGCAGGAACTCCTTACGTGACCATAGAAGGCCACACAAGCTCTCAGCCACAACAAGGCTACACGCCAGTTCCTGCTCCAGGCCAACCGTCTTCCTCATAAGAATGAATGAGAGTGTCTGCTCCCTTTAATTCATATGCTTTTTCTGGTTATAGTGTTTTTTACCAAATATAGTGCACTAGAGGTCTCAAATAGTACAACCAAGTTGGAAAATATACGTATGGTGCTATCCTCAATTTAGTTAAGTATACAACTGATTGAAAAAATGTTGTCGCTTGAAAAGTATAAACCATGAACGATGCCGGACCTAATGAATTTATGGGTAGAACTTTATTAGCATTGCAAATTTTAAGCTCTTTTCAGCTAAATGTTTACATTATGGAAGCTTTTCGCGACGATGCATTCTAAAAAAGGTCAAACGGTTTCCAGTTGTCACGGAACTCACAACTTCACAAGTGCTGGACATAATTATATGAGCGATTCCTACAGTTAAAGAGCGTAGCCATATCGCTAACGCACACTTGAAAATCATAAGATAGGACCTAAAAGCGTTGTTGAAAGACAAAAAAAAAGACAACAGCATGTCTTAAAGAAAGTACTCTAGGGATTTGCATCCGCACAAGCATCTTGTGACGATGTAAACTTTTGTCGAAAGAACTTTGAATTTGCTTTGCTAATGAACGTATACCCATAAATCCTTGAAACCTCATCATTCATGGTTTATACTTTTTAGCAGGTATATGTTAACTTTACATGTACCCAACATTGTGTCTTTAGCTAAAACTCAAGGCTGTAATCTATGGAAAATTGAAGGGGGCCATTGCTCTTAACCTGTAAATGCAGGGTGTGAAAAAAGTACTAAGATTTCCTAACTAGTTGCCCAAGAGGAAAATTTTAGGACTAGTGGCCATTGGTTTCTGCTAGAGCATAACCTTGATAGTTATCAAAATTTTTACTCTCTGCTATGTACAAAATAATCATTATGTCTTGCAGTCTGCCTTGTGTGAGACAGATTAAAAAATAATTTTAACTAGTGAGTATTATATAGCAATCCAATACATAATTTATTTTATGTAATGTACTTGTAGGTACAGGGTGCCAAGAAAGTCGTGTCCGATAGCCCGGGGCTAGTGGATTTTGCTGTCGGGCTAGTGATTTTTGTTCTTAACTTGCCAGACGTGCAAGTGCTGCTTTGAGGGGAAATTCAAATCACAGAAGGATTGTAATCAATCCTGCTAATCAAAAAGGGTTTTCGGGCTAGTTGAAGTGACTTGTGGGCTAGTACATGCTAGCTACAGCTTGCCCGAATGGCAGGCTGTAAAACTGACTTTCTTTGCACCCTGAGGTATCAAGGAAAATGCTTCTAACACAAGGCATTATTTTTTTTAGTATTTGATATTTAAGTAGCAATATTGGTTGTTTACAATTTACAAAAAGTTTCTGGAAAGTCTGGTTAGAAAGTAAATGGAACACGACTTTTTGGGTCTTTCCAGTGGAAAATTTCCAGGCGCAACAGAACATCTGAAAAGGTTTTCCCTTTTTGCCGAACAAAGTATTCTAAAACAAAATTTATGTTTCATTTCTTCAAAGCCAACTTTTATACCAGTTTCAGGCCTTCGCTGTCATTTTTTGGTAAATGGAAGTGATTTGTACAAATGGTGAATGCGATTCTAGGATGAAATTAACCAGTCCTGAATTTTGCATACCATCTGCCCAAACCATGGACCAACCGGTTTGCCCATGTCAGTGGTAAACAACCATTGTTTTCCAACAAATCATGAATTCAATTAAAATTTACAGAAGTCGCATTAATGTTTATCCTGATAGTAGACATTGTCATGATGTTGTGAGAGACATAAAAGGTGTAACGTCAAACCTAACTATATTTCCAAACATTCAGAAAGATTAAGCGTACATGAGTGCCAGCTGCCTTGGTCTTTGCTTGATAAAGGTTGTGCACCTCAAATAACCCAATGCTCCAATTTTTAGAGGCTTTGTCTAGTGACGTAAACTTAAGTTGTTCAGTGACAATTTTTATGGACATGCCTGTGCATTATAATATATGCATGCAGTTGGCATGTTCTCTTGCTTGAAATGCAATTTTTGTTTAGGGCTTTGCCAAACTGGCTTTTTATTGTGAAGTGTCTTATCGTGGTAGTTTATATATTATTCCTGTTTCAGACAGTAGGCAGTTGATTATAATAGGTAAAATGTTCTTTCTGAAATCATGTAGGTAGCTTGAACAGTTCCTTCATTCACAAATTCTTGGAAATGAGATATTATTTTTACCAATTTTGCAGTGAAGTCTAAACATTATTTTCTTAACAGACATTGTTATGGTACAACTGTAATAAATTAGAAAGATTTTTCCAATGAAAGATAATATTCATGATATCGATTGAGGTTTGTTTGTGACTGGTTTTATGTCTCAGCATGCCTAGCAGGGTAAAAATCCATCAACAATAATTTAGGTTTCAGAATCCACCAATCAATAGCAATCATGGTGTTTCTAGTAGCCCTGTACCTAATTTGATCTTTCCTCTGCAGAGGTCTCTTTGTGTCAAAGGGAAGTCTCCCTCGCAGCCATTTTCATCTCGTCATGCAATGCACCTTCCCAGCATCCGTTTGTTGAGGAGGAGTATCACATGACAAAACCACAATGGCTGCGAGGGAGATTAATCATGGAGGGACTGGGGAGAGGGAGGAGATAAAAAGAGGCTTTTTCTCATTAGAGGTAACAAATACAATGATTGTGTGAACATTTTTCTAGGACCAAATCTTGTGTCCCTTCAATAGAGGTGTCACAAAGGAGAGGTTCTACTGACTAAATTTTGGTGATCACACCTGCTCAAACACAATGAAACTACCAGAAACGCACATTAGATGAGTTTATTTTTAATATTCATGATAGCCATGATGTCATGACAAGAGATCACAGCAAATAATAGCTCTATGGCAAATCAGAAAGCATCATAACAAGGTCTTTTGCCCGACAGGAGTAAATGTCTCACAATTTGGATCTTAAAACTTGACGTCAAATTGTATTTTTCCAGAAAATATCCATACTCCCCCCCACTGGGGGAGGGGGGGGGTTCAGGGTAGGTTTTCTCCCTCCCCCTCTGGAAATTGCAGAACCCCCCTCCCACTTAGAACATCTATACTTGAAGCTCCACGGAAAGGAGGTGGGAGGGTATGGATATTTTTTGGCGCTATACAATGACACCTCACTCACTAGCCACATTTTAACCACCAGACCCCTGTTCTTGCATCTGACGCTCTTCTTTCCTCTCTTTAGCACGCCTCTTTCGGTCCTTGATATTTTGCAAACGCCTACGCTTGAATACTTCTAGCTTCCGTCTTTTCCTATACTTGTGTTTCTTCATCCTCTTGTGACGTTTTTTCAGTATACTGCTGAAAGCTACTGTAGGAATATCTCTTGTTTCATCGCCCATGGTGAGTTCTTGAGATTCTTTATCACCAATGACCTTGTCCGCATTTGGCAAGTAGAATGGAAATATGAATTCGTGAATTTGCTGCTCAAGAACAGATGCATGTGGGAATTTTACTGAGACCATAGGGCTCCAGTTGTTGTGCACATCGCTGTAAATATCACTTGAGTTAATCCAAGGAAAGATGAATGTTTGTAGGATAGGTAAAGTAGAAGTTGATGGTATGTTGCTTGTATAGTAAGTGTCATTTACGGGTTTCATCGACAATAAAAGTTTTGCATCTACAATGAGAATGAGAAGCAAAATAGGAAAAGATCAGCATATGACACAGGCCAAATCACCCTAACATTTGACCATACAGTTAAAACCTGTAACCAGACCTTGGTTTGTTATCCTTCATGCACAACATCAAACTTCAAAAGACAGAGGCTACAGGATTCTCCTACAAATGTGCCAGCCAAACACATATCTGTAGATCGTAATAGGGTCATTCCACAGTAATTTGGACAGAAAATATCAAAAATCAAAATTGTTTGTTTCACTCAATTTCTTGACAAATTGAAAATATACTAGTTATAGTATGTGAAAATGGTAAACTTTGTTTGTTGTCAGTTGTCGTGTATGCATAAATTATCATCAATTACCATATACAGTGAAAATAGCTGTTGCGGAGGGGAAAGTTAAATGTGTTGCTGATAACAAATTATTAACAAAAATTTTGCTGAGCTGGTATGGGACAAAAACTACTTAATGCAAAGTTACTTTAGTATTGACCAACATTGATATTTTCACCATAATGACAGCAGCAGACAATGTCATGGATGCTGTTTTCCCCTCCGCAACATTTTGAGGCCTGATAGTTTTATTTTCAGGCTAACAAATAATTAATTCAACTTTCTGTTTTCATATCTTCTAATTTTTGACCAAGGCTTAATTTTATTATGTTCTAATGGATTTCACGTTTTTAGCTGAATTTGATAAAGAATGATTAGTTTCTGTTGCGGAGGGGAAATTTTGTTGCGGAGGGGAATTCTGTTGTGAGTTTGTACTCAAACAATGCATTGTGGGATAGCTAAAACCATGTGTTCAAATTCAATATGGCTTTCTTGCTGAGTTGAGAAGTATTGAATTTTAAAAAATGCCTTCTAACACTGAAAGAAGTAGAAAGTTCAGAAAGAAAGTGAGAAGTGACCCTATTAAAAATAAAAGCAATTTTACTGTCACGCCAGTAAAATGTAGTTAATGGAACGTGACGCTAGTTATCAGTAACCCATTCATGGCGGTTCTTTTTCAACAAAGCAATTGTGTAGTCAGGTTGTCAAGGTCAGCGAGCTCTAAGATGCATTGTATTCTAGCATAGAACTTTACGGCCTTGTTGTCTTAAGCAGGCTAGTACGAGCCACAGCATTGGCCAATATTTTCAAAGCACTATTCATGGCTAAGAGTTTGCACATGCAACGCTGAGCTGTCTTGTAGTACAGCCTTTTCTACTGGCGATGCCAGCAGACATGCGTCTAGCTAGAAAAGCGTAGAACAACTGTTCAGGGGGTTCCAGTGTTCAGCAAGGTTTAAGCGCTCAGTATACTATTCTTGTAAAAATTTTCCCTCCCTAGCTCCCTCCCTTTGGAGACGAGGTTTGGGCTTTGTTTTGTGCTATGCCATCAAATAAACTAGGGACACTCCTCGCAGTGCGGTTAAGTCTGTGCAGGGACTTCCCCCAAGCTTGTTGGCTGCATTGCCGTTTAATATCGCCTGCAAACCGATACTCTTGTCTGATCCAGCACGTACTGTATTGCATTCAGCTCGTAGTGCTGGGGAGATAAGTGAGGTTCTTTTAAATTTGCTCACGCCATCGCCGGAAGTCGCACACGCTAACCTAGCGCACGGCAGTGCTCCCCCATTATCGCCAACTTGTCATTATTTGTTTTATAATTAAGTCACTTCGCGTTAGACATGCATCATAAAGGAGCAGAGACATTAATAAATATAAAGCCAATGTAAAGTTGTTGAAGTTCATATATTAAAATATGGTCGTTATAATTAGGTTTTCGTGGCTTGTTTTATGAATACTGAAATGTGGACACATTTTCCCCTCCGCAACTTCCCCTCCGCAACAGTGGATGGTGGTCTTGGATCCTGCCTCACTGAAAAAGAGCTGTACATTTAAGTTTCCTTTTATGATTCTTGTAATTAACATAAGTTGATAAAATGGAAAAAACCAGTGAGCTTAGGATACCATTCCAGAATTCATAGAAAATTAAGAATGAAATAAAAAAACTTTGAACACGGTATTTTCTGTTCCCCTCCGCAACAGCCCTCTTTTGATGGTCTGCGAGCTAAATAATGCATTTAAGAGAAAAGCATGAGACTAGAAATGATAGCTCCCTAAAAGACATAAAAACTCCATAAATATCCAGAAGTAAATGAAAAAAACTTATTACACTACAACATGTTTAGTGTCTCTGAATTTCCCTTCCGCAACAGACGGAATACTGTGGAATGACCCAATATTAATGAGCTTTATGTTGTACTTCTCCTCCTCTTAGGCCCGGTTCAGACGCCAAACTTTAAACTTTTTATGAGCTGAACCTATTTATGAATTTAACCTGACCCAAACTATTTGGACCGCCTGAATTGATTCAGATGCCCAACTAAATTCAAAAGGAGAAAAATGCTCATTTTGATCAAACTGCTTGCAAAATACTTTATTATAATTTATGCAATATAGGTTCCGTACATGAAAAGTTTAGCATCTGAATCAAAGCTGTTCCAAGGCCGTTCCACAGTCAAAATTCCCGGCCAGGCTAGGCGTGAAGAACGGCTGAGCCATTCCAAATTGAAATAGGCATTCCTAACTGATTCAGACGCCGAACTTTTCATGTACTTAATTCCAATGTACAACGAGACCAGCAAAGGACAGGAGCAAAAATCAATGAAAGTTGCACACGATGAAGAGCTCGATAAAGCCCTGTATGTCTGGTTTATTCAGCAACAAACATCTGGCACTCCAGTTTCTGGTCCCCCCAACAATTTGTAAAAGTCTTGTTTCACGATTAATAGTCATTTTCTCAATTTAATCAGTTTTGTTCTTCATTAATATTCATATTTTCGATTATCCGGACCCTGGATTATCGGGACTATTTCGTCTGGTCCCAACGAGTCCAGATAATCGACGTTCGACTGTATTAGGTTCAGCTCATAAAAAGATCAGTGTCTGAACCGGGCCTTAACCTTTTAAGTCCCGATGGTGACCAACATCAATTTTCTCCTAACGATATCTATACATTGTCAAGAGATTATGTTATGAGAATTAATAAAATGATCACCAAAGAGATAATGCCTTGATCTTTTACCAAATTCTCTCAGCTAATTCTTTATGGAAATGTATAGAGATCAGTTTGGAGAAATTGTATGTGGATATTGAGGCTTAAAGGGTTAATACTCTAAACACTGATAAAAGGTTTGATGAATGTTAAGTTGGTGTGAGACTCGTGCATGTGCCAATGATGGCAATGCTTTTGTTCCCAGAATACCTAAGGATCCTTACCTTCCATACAATCACATAAAAAAATAACTTAATCCATTTTTTTGTAAATGACAATGTGATTAAGTAACGGTTTAGTTTCACTTGTTGTGTACCTATTTACTTGCGACTTTTTAAACGGCTTAAGTTGCATCACTCAAGAGGCGCAAGTTATTAAAATTCAAAAGCCCTTTTTATACTTAGTAGGGTAATGTTGTCACTTGACCATTTCATTGTAAAATTAAAGTGAAGGAATTTTCCTTTGGAATTTTCCTTTCAACAAGTATTAAGAAAATTACACATTTTTATACATTTCTTAGTGGTGATTATGGTTTGGTGGGAAAGTGTGATCGTACATCAACAGCTTTGTTCCATGGTACCATAGTGATATGCATGAAACAGACATCTCGCCACCAAACAATCTATATAGCCTCCAACGAAATCAGTAGATTACTTGCCCTGCATTTTCCATTTCAGACAAGACAGTAAAAAATAATTTTTCTTTTTATTTATGCTAAGTTTTATATCCAGCTAAACTGCAGTGTACTCGGCCTTTTCTTTTAAATCGGGAACCCCCACTGCGTTACACCTTGTCCATCAAAGAGTGATGACATTAAAATGAAGTGGCCAGATATCTGTACCGAATAAACTGTTACATACACGTATCACTCTCGGGCCACCCCTATTTCACCAAAATGTTTCAAAAAAAATCATTCGCCGCGCTCTCAAAGTTGACTGTCACATCAAAAGAAATTGGAAAGATGTAAAATGAAATAGAAGCCACATTTGCAAAATTAAGTCGGTAAAGTGCCAGTGTTCGTTCCATTCCATGAGAGGAACTACGACTACCGGGGACTACAGTGCGAAATAACTGAAAATAATAAGGAAGGAAAAGGAAGGAAGGAAAGATTCATGGACAACAGATGTTAGCCTGAATTTTATCCGATTACTTCGAGTCGTTATTACTCAGAGGAGAAAACGACTGGAATTCAGGCTACAACAGATATGCGCTCTTGTAATTATTAATAAACACTGTTTACCTTCAACCGAATTTCTTGTGATCAACTTACTCCTGCAGCTGTTCAGTTTTCGTGCATGAATGCAGGAAGCAGCTATTCTAGATAAAATCTGCCTTTGGAATTGCATTCTTGGTGAGTGAGTAGATCGATCAGACTTTCCCGTCAAGCCGCCATGTTCGAAATAATCACTGTATCTCAGTTTACCGCGGTCGATGGAAAGGCGCAGTACCTCGGCACGTGAGGCGTGACGAGACGTCAAAAAAAAAATGTCGGTCTCGTGGATGTTCAAAAGGTGTAACTGCAACGCTACAAATGTACGCTTCAAACTTATTCCTTCTTATCGATTACTATCAATTACAATCGATTGTTCTCGATTTTTGCAAGAGAGATCGATTATAATCGATAAATTATCTTTCCTTTGACTTCGATTTCGATCGATTTCCGTTATCAATGAACTGGACCGCCGTGACACAGCCCCTTTTAGATTAGTCAGAGACCAGACCAAGCGCCGCATAGGGGGAAGGAGAAAAAAAAATCGGCGATTTCTTTTTTTTTTCGCTCAAGCTGATTTTTTTCTCCTTTTTCCCTAAATGCGGAGCCTGACCCCTGGCTTGATTGATATCAATTATATCGATTGATTTACGATATCGATTCCTATCTACATGTATTATCTACTCCTGGCTAGATAGAGCGCGAATGTTTTTGTGTTGGTGTAATATTACAATCGTCCTTTTGAATTTCAAAACAGCGGTGTAACCGAACCGTAGTTGTAGCGCGAGTGAAAAGAACGGAAAGAGGTTTCCCCTTTCAACCCTAAACAGTTAACTGAAGTGAAATGTTACATTACTGCGGTGCTGCCGAGTTTGTGATATGGATTATATTATACATTCCTGTCCCCTGGGAGTTGGGGGGTTTTATTGTTAATTCATTCATTCTCAGTTTGAGAGCAGAAAACAAACTCAATCATTGTGCTCGATCAGGGAGCTTTCAACTAAAACTGCAGTACTGTTGTTTTCATCTTCAATCATCTCTGATGTTTGCCGGCTTTCGATTTCATAACCGGGCTCCCCTTTAAACTGTGGAAATGTGTCTCTCACGGAATCAGGTCGAAAGCCACAGTTCGATCACGCAACGGATCACGCCATATCACGTGTCTGAGAAAAGGGCAAGAGTCCAGCCACCGATTATATAATGCGCGTTCTACAGCGGTAGTGTTTACAACCAAAAACGTTCTTTGCTGCCCATACATGAACATGGGTACAATTTACGTGTTTTCCATTGCTTTGCACGTGGTTGGTGCCTTTTTGAACATACGATTGTTAGTGAGCTGCTTGAAGTTTGACGAGAGATCCAATCTTCAATTGAGTGGCCGAGCAGGTATGATACTCCAAGCTATTCTTCAGCTCACACTTCTGGGTCTAAACGCCGACGATTCTATGAATTTATTTACCAAACAACAGCAACTGGGTTGGTGCAACGTGAACGGCGTTCTCATTATTTCCGTGGGCTTCGTCTTCTTCTACAACATGGTGGCCATCATAGCTATCGAATATCCCTCAGTATTCTGTCTCAAACAAGAACTGTCTCCTCGAACAGCCATGTTTGGAACACTGACTGCCAGCATCAGTACAATAGGTGTGTTATTCTGGTCCGGCTTTTTCAGGTTGGAGAATATGTGCGAGTCTCGGGTACCCTCCGTTATTGTCTGCTCGCTGCTGTTTCTTCTAACGATTCCGATTGTTTGGAGAATTTGCAGAGCTAAAGAACCAACCACGTCCTCAAGCAAGAAAGTTGATGAACCGTCCTACCATCTTCTGGAGTTACTGAGCGCTGACAAGACCAATACTGTCGTGTCCACCAGCTTTTTAGCGCTTGTTTTTTTGACGTTGAGTTTGCAAGCAATCGGGTACACGTTCAATTTTCAAGAAGAACAGTTCGAGTCATTCTTTTACGGCGAGAAATTGCTCTATCTATTCACCATGTGTTTTGGTCTTGGCATTGCTTTACCTATAATCTCCATGAAGGTGATCGAATTTAGCGTCTGCGAGGAAAACATCGATGGTTATATTTTACAACGTGTCTAAATGGCCAGCGGCCGGTCAAGGCAGCCTTTACGCGCCTTTCAACGCCTGCTTACAAAGCCCAGAGGATGTCTGCAAGGTAGTAGTCTGCGATCTGCGAATACAGCCCCAGCTTATTGCTCCCTGCCGGTCGCTTGGGCGTTTAGCAAAAAAAAGGAACGATAGTCGGATGAAAAACCGCCTTTGTACTACATTAATTGCAGTCAGAGTAAACAACTCCTCTCTCAATCTTTAAGCGTTTTCTAGATTTTAATTGCAGGCATTCGACGTTTTCTTTTTTTTTTTATTTTTTTTGGGGGGGGGGGCAAACAAGGCAGCATTTAGAAAAGGCGGTTCCGTAAAATCCGTTTTACCAAAATTTCACCCAAAACGTAGAAAAATTATATTTACATTCGTTGTAGTTTTTATTAATCACCAAAGAGGTTAAAAGGTATATTGGCTTTATGTTAGTAATTCTGAAGTTATCCGCGAAAAGAATTGAACGAAAAAAAAGGAAAAAAATCGAAAACAATTTTGCGGATCAAGGTCAATGAATAGATTTTAAAATTTATATGAGTTGAGATGTAGGATACTGGGTTAAAAGGATAATAGAATGATTGCAGTTATACTGTTATAACATTAATCTTATCGGTCAGTATGTTTCTAATCTAGAAAACATCTTTTATCCCTACGCTCTTAAACTTTCAAATAGCAAACCACACGTGCCTAAGTATAGTTAAGAGTCTGTGTGGGGGGTAAACGTAGAACAAATAAATTGACTATAAAGGATTAACTTCCTCAATAAAAAATAAAACACATTTTGTCCTTGGTGTCACTTTCTGTGTTTATACGGGCGCGATTTAATTCGACTGCTTCGATGTTAATTTTCATGCGAAAAATGCTTACATTTTGTAGTGGGGCACTCTAAATCACCAATATACCGAGTTAGTGAGGCTCGCATTTTAGCAAAATTAAAAGAAACATCCAACATGAATTTAAATATTGGCACTACAGTATTTGTGAATAATCGTGAAAAGCCGTGTTTTTCACGAGGGGAATTGGGCCCTAAAGGCAAAAAATACAAATTCACTGAATTTTTTACCACAAGTCGCGTATAAGTTGGTACCATCTCCCAGTGTTTTCGTGTCCAGTCCCTCTGAGAATCTAACCTGTCTATCCAGTTTCAATCCACGTTCCTATTTTTCGATTTAGTAAGTACACGTATACGCATTTTTCGCACGAAAATTGATTAAACCTGTTAAATCGCTCTCGTAGAACGACAGAAAACAACACCGAGAGGCAATATTTGTACTTTATTGAGGAATTATACTCGTTAAGAATGGTAAGAGAGTTAGACGGTTGATAAAACAGGCTTTCTAGTAAAACTTAAAAGGAAAATCGGATTGGTATGTTTAACATAGCTGCAATCATTTTTTACCCTTTTAACAAAATGTGCCTCACCTCATTCCAAATCCTATCGTTCAGCATATATTTGTTTTCTTTTGCTTTTCATATCTTGAATTTTATACAGTAGATATACCTTCCGAATTACGTTAACGTTACGTAATGTTCCTTTATCTTAGAGTAAGCGGATATGATTACACATATTTTCGATTTTCGGTTTTTACTCGCCCCATTTTTCGTGCGGTCTTTGACTTTCATTCCTTGTTCTTTGCTCCGAAACCGCACGGAGACGCTCTCGCTTGCTACCCAGGCTAATCAAAATGTGAACGAGGGGAAATAGATTTTCTCTGAGTCTTGGATGGATTGTAAGTTTGACGGGTTTCAAGGAAACGTTCTTACTTAACTGCCTCCTTTTTTGCTCGAAAAGACATCGGGAAAAAATCCTTTAGTATACTCTTTTATGCTTTCAATTAAACGGTTAAAAGACCTTTCAGATCGAAAAACGTTTTATCGAGCGATTTTGCTGAAACGTCCCCGCGGCGAGAAGCCATGAATGGCGACTGTATACGCCGGCTACCACAGACGTGTAGGCTTCGTGGGGCAGGAGTTCTAAGGCGTACGAAGAGGCGTCAAAACTCCGTTGTCTTGACTGACTGCACTGGTGATTTAGACAGTTGAATACGACCATCAATTAGTTCCCCAAAGACGTTCAAATCAATTACCTTCTTGGAAATTTTAGTTTAAGTATTAAATGCCAAGATCGGAGCATATGATGGACAAACACAGCATTCTCTTTTACGGTAAATGAATGCTTCGAACTGTTTTTCCGGACAACTGCCGGATCGCTTGCGAGCTCAACTTCATATTAACAGGCGGCTTAACGGCTGCACTTAACTACACCGATCTTTCGGGGTTCACTAAATCTAGCAGGTGACAAGACAGTTAATGATTTTTGTTTTCTTAACGAGATTTGTTCTTCAGCTTTACAAATTCTCCAAACAATCACAGTCGTAAGAAACAACAGCAAGGGAGAGACAATGGCGGAGGGTATTCGGGAGTCCCTACGATGCCACGGTTAAAAATCTATTGCAGAACAAGACGAGATAAAAAGGTCATGCAGACCCTTTTTGTCTTGCATGAGGACATGGTTTTTCTTCAGCTCTGTAAATTCTCCAAACAATCAGCGTCGTTAGAAGAAACAGGAGCGAGAAGACAATGGCGGAGGGTACCCGGACTCACACTTACGCTCCAAAGTGAAAAAGCCGGGCCAGAATGAGGCTGGCTATCAGTGTTCCAAACATGGCTGTTCGAGGAGACAGAATACCCGAGGGATATTCGATAGCTATGATGGCCACCATGTTATAGAAGAAGACTAACCCACTGAAATAATGAGAACGCCGTTCACGTTACACCAACCCAGTTGCTTTCCATTGGTAAATACTTTAACAAAATCAGCGTTTAAAAAGCCTATAATGGGCGCAAGAAAGAACGGGGCGCGCGAGGGACCGCTCTTTCGCGTACATTACTTCTGAGCTCCTGTTACACAGGCTTGGGTTTAGACCAAGTAGAATAAGTTGAGGAAACAGTAGATTGGAGAATCATATCTGCCATACTGCCAAAGTCAACTTAATTTAATGTTTGTACATCAAGCAGCTTTGCTAAC